CTGCATGCTGTTAGGTGTTGGATATAGTTCGTGCTCATATACCAACACAAAAACACCATTGATGAGGTTTGACTCACTTAACTAATTTATTTACTGATCACACAAAAAGACATCCTGGTAACATCGAGGGGTTCACTGACCACAAGACTCATAACCCACTAATATACATATAGTACCCTCAGTACCTAAGGTGAAATTTTGAAATTGTTGCATCGGAATATACATTGGCTAACTTACTCCTCTTGAGTACTTGGGCCATCTATGCCGAGTTAGCAACTGAAGTGCCCTGGCACTTGCTGAGACATATTCTAAGGTTTATGATAACAAGGTGATCGCTACACAAAACTAAGTTATAAATATGATTACATGAGTAAGGTTCTATGAATACATATGCCCACTGAGCTACGATACAATACTTTGAAGGAGATGTTGGAAGTCATGTTGCAACGGTGCTCCACGAACTGCTCAAGCTACTGCACTGTCAACGAAAAGCATCTGAAGTCTGAGCTTACAAAGCCCAGCAGTATAATCGCGAATCTAGAGCAACATTAAGAATTTCATAAACACAAGCATACTGAAGACATGGTACTAAGCAATAAGAACATGCATGATCTAGATCAAGTGCTACCTACTTAGGGCTTAGCTATTCTACACTGAAGTAGGAGTCTCGCGCTTCCCTAAATCTTCTACTAAGGATTTATCCATGAGTAAACCTCTAGAGGGTCTCTAACCCTAATGATTGTATCTGATATGCATTATATAAATGCAACACTGACACTACTGTGTATTATCTAAACGCAACACTAACACTAATGTACAACACACAAGGATTGGTAGGTATCATAGTGCGACTGAGGGGCTACATTTCAGAGCTCACACACCTCTCTAGCCTACCGAAGATACCCTTGGGTATCTAGGGTAAGATCTAAAGTTGCATTGGAAACGTACACCCTGCTAACTTACTCCATCGAGTCTTAAGGCATCTGCGCCCAGTTGACATCTGAAGTGCCTTGGCACTGATTGGTAAATACATGAACATTCTAACAAACAATAAAATCATTATACTATTACCACAATTACCTCTTAATTACTTGAGGGGACTAATATGTTTCCGTTTAAGACTAATTAGACGAAGGACAGAGGAGATCGGAGATGGGTAGTTGAAATGATGCTTTGTCGACCACCTGCTCTCACCAAAGCTTCACTTCTATTTTTTGGAGGAATGAGAACACTGAAGATAATGGAGAGAAAATACATAAAAATTTAATATTAATAAAATATTAATTAATACCTACATGGTAGTAAAAAATTAATGAAAATTTCTAGTTCATCACACAGTTAAAAGTAAAACGGTGGATGGATTAAAAAAGTTCAATATATAAAATTTAATGATTAAATTGTTTTTTTAAAATATAATTAATAAAATAAGAGAGAATAAAGTTTAATAAGTAAATTTGTAATATACCTTTAAATTGTTACAAGTAATTAAGAGGTAAATGTTAAAAAGAAAGCAAAGAAGAGAGACAAAGCAATAGTTTAAGTGGATTTTGTCCGAGGGGAGACAGCAGCGTATCTACAAAAATCTTAAAATTCGATTCAGTTTACTTTAAAAAGCAAAGGAGAAAGTGGAAACAATTAAAAGTAAAATTGAAAAGTGCATTAAACTATTACCACAACATAAATTAATTTATCAGAAAAACAGATCAAAGCATGACCAAGAAAAAAAAACTCGATATAAAAGAAATTTTATATATCATTATACTATTATTTTAATTTTACTAAATAAGATTTTTAACTTTTAATTAATTTGATAATCAAATATATTTTTATAAATATTATATCTATATATTTTTTATTTTAATATTATATTTTTAAACATTACACGTTTGATATTTATATTTATCAAACATTAAATAAAATGACTAAATATCTAATGCATAATATCTTTAAAATATAGATAAAAAAATATATATATTAAATATTAGATAGTAACGTTTAATACGCATATAATAATTATTTGAACAGTTATTTAATTATGAAGAGAATTTAATTTGATCATTAATATATTAATAATATTATAAACAGAATTTTGTTAACAAATTTAATTATTTAAATAATATTAATTAAGTCAACTTAATGTTTAATAAAAATATTGATGCGGTAATTAAATAAATTTATACAATTACACATTTAATTTTTATTTGTTACTTATTCTATTAATTTGATCTGAATTTTTACACAAATACACATTTAGGAACTCTCAGAATCGTCGATAACTCTGCACCTTAAACCTAACAAAAACAACAAATCAAACTAAAATAGTTACTAGGAATATGTTTAATACATACCTCTCTCGATTTACCTCGGTTGCATTTATTCGTATTTCTCTTATTTCTCTGTCTTGTTCCCACGAGTTATTTTGCATGCTCTTTAGACGAGAGACTTATTGAAATTAAAAATTAAATAATACAAATATTTCAAATCATATGGTAGGAGTGTTTAAACGGTTAATTCGATCATTGATCGAATCGAACTTTCGTTAACCGAATTAGTCACATTTTTTTCTTTAACCGTTATTTGAATCAAACTTTTTTTAAATGTTAACCGAACCGAACTAAGCTCAGATAATTCGGTAATAAAATTTTTAATTAGATTAATTTGATTTTGATATAGGTATATTTTTATTTGGTGTTTTTCCCGATATATCATCCTTTGACTTTATATTTCCCTGTCAGGCACCCTTCAGACTATTTTTCTCGATCTAACACCCTTTGTAGTAAGGTGCGTCCCCTGCAGCGCACTTTACGCTGATCTGGCACTTTACCCTTAGGTTTAATTACCCACCTATCCCGGCCGTTCACACCCCACCCCCTATAAATACCCCCTTGAACTAGAAGGCATATCGACATTGAGATCGAAAAAACTCGCAGTGGAATTCCTCCCCTTGGGACTTGAAGTAAATGTGTTATATGGAAACTGCACAGATTGTTGCGTCGATGGCATCTCCATATTAAGGTCAAAGAAATTTGCAGATGAATGCCTTCCCCTTGAACTGTACGCGATGTTGCCATACGGATTGTTCGTGGATCCACCTCGGTACATATCGTAAGGAGTTGCGAATGAATGTCTCCCCATTGAAGTTGATGTGACGGCACCATGATGCGGATTTCCCATGATGGCGTTAAAATCATTACACACTACTGTAGTCGGGCTATCAACTTGATCAACTTGTTCAGCCAGCCCATAGTGGGAGCTTAATGACTGACCCCGAACAGCACGCACTTGAACAAACTTTGCATACATCTCAATATCGGCGTATGAATAATTACTTTGAGAATCAACCATCATTTCAACATCATCATTGTTCGATAGTTCGAACGCTGTATAAGTTAATGACAACAATGATGTTGGAAATCTGTACTGCAACGACGATATTCTTCTATTACTTCCAACATGAACCTTCCTTAAATGATATTTTAACACGCTCATTTGATACAAAAACAATGTCAGTTTCATCTTTTCAAATTTCTCCATCATAATAAGCAATAGTTGAAAGTCGCGCCATTCTTAGAGTTTAAAAGTGCGACAATATTATATCTGTAAAAAAAACAACTTAAACAAACCTGATTAAATAAATAATATATAAACGAAAATATAACACAATAAAATTTTTACACATGAACGTAAATAATTTAAATAATATAATTTTATATTATTACCTGCACCGTAAAAATATTTCGACGTATGCTCCCGTTTTCCAATTTTACAAACACAGAAATTAATTGAAAATAATTAGTATAATATTTTTTTTTTTCAAATAATCATATATAATTATAAAAAAAATAATATAACAAAATGACCTTATAACGAAAGATCGAACGAACTTCTGAATCAAATATAAGAGGATTGTCGGGTGTTATTTACTGGTTGAAAGGATTGTTGGTGAGAGAGTTTACGGGGAGAAGGCTGTTTATAGCCGAGAGAAGATGCTTTAAAGCCTAGAAGTTCGGGTAAATTATGCAGGGATCGCGCCTTGCATTATGCATGTCTGATAATTGAGCATGTGATAATTGAAAAACGCGGCCCCTGCACCGCGCTATAGCCTTACGTGGAGTAAGGCGCACCTCAGGGGTCACGCTATAGCCACGTGTATCCAACTCAGCATAAAGCGCGCTGCAGGGGGCGCGCCTTACAGTAAAGGGTGTTAGATCAGGAAAAATAGTCTGAAGGGTGTCTGACAGAGAAATATATAATATATAGGTGATATATCGGGAAAAACGCCTTTTTATTTGGGTTAAAATTTAATTATATCTTAATAATTTAATGGGTCTAGTGTGCTTAAAAAATAATTAAGCCTTAATTTTTAATGGATTTGAGCTTAAAATATATACTTAGCATATATAATATATTTAATATATAATAATTTTGGTTAATTCGGTTAATTAATTGATTTTGAAACTAGATTAACCGTAAACCGAATATTGAAAAAAATCATTAATTGATCGAACTAACTCATTGGGTGGTCGTTTTAATTGAACTAATTCGGTTCAATTGGTAATTCGGTTAAAATTGAACAGTGAACATCCTTATTATATGATGACATATGACACTATCTGATTAGATATTAAATTTATTAAACTAAAATTGAGATGAAACTAATAGAATATATAAATAATAAAGGTTACATGTGTAACTGTACAAATTTGTTTAACTACCACATTAATATATATTTATTGTTGACTACATATGATTATATTGATATTATTTAAATAATTAAATAATATGAAAAATAAAATTAATACATCTGGTCAAATTAAAACTTTTTCCAAATGACTATTGAAGTAGATTACTCATGAATATATAGATACTACATTTATAAAAATGACAAACTTAGGTACTAAATGATATAATAAACCTAAAACACTATTCGTTCAATGTAGGCAAGACATTGTTCCCTTTCAAAATGACCCTCCCCCCCCCCCCCCCCCCCCCGGCAACAATTTCTTTCTCCAAAGATCTCACTTTCCTTCTCTCTTTTTTTCCTTTTTCCTTTATTTGTGGCCTTTGCTTTGTTGTGATTTGCTGGGAGGTTTGTAGCTGGTCAATCTGCAGAGCTTGATTTTAATATACAAGAAAAACAGTGAACGTGCTCTTCTTAATTTGTCTTTGTTGTCTTAAACTACAACACCACCTCCACGCTTGGAAGTTAACATGATTAGCGTTGTTGTTTCTCTGTGAAGTTCCATTATTTTATATAGCAAACGGGGAAAAACCAACCATTTTAGAGGGAGATAATGAGATATCTTTGGAGTTTGAGCCATGTTTGTCTCTGAGAATTGAAAAGTTTTCTCTATTTTCTTTGGAGTTTTAGCTTAGCAAGTACCATTTTTGTTTCTGTTTCAGAAGAGAAAAGAGAGGGTATTTGTTGAAATCACCATTGCTTCAAAGAAAGTTGCCTTATGTGGTATATGCATGTGTGCTTAGGATTTATTGGGGCTTAGATATGAAGCTGGGATAGTATTGTGAATTTGTTGATGGGTCGAAAGTTGCAACAGAGCCAGCACCAGCACCACTCGGTGGCTGTGAAAGTGAATGAACAAATGGGGACCAAAAGAGGGTACACATTTATTCAGTCTAACAGGGCTTGGTTACCAAAATTTCTATTGCTTTGGGTCATGGTGATGGCTTTTATCAGCACTTGGATCTACAAAAAGATGGATGCCGACAACAAAGTGAGGAGGAAAGAAGTACTGAGCAGCATGTGTGATCAAAGGGCAAGGATGTTGCAGGATCAATTCTGTGTTAGTGTTAACACTGTTCATGCCTTGGCCATTCTTGTATCCACTTTTCTTTACTTCAAGAATCCATCTGCTATTGACCGGGTCCGTAAAATTCAATTCGGTTTAACTTGTAGTTTCTTGAAAAATAAAAGATGAGATATTAGATTGTTTCTGTCTTTGATTGTGTTCTTTTTGCAAGAAATGCAGGAGACCTTTGCAGAGTACACTGCAAGAACTGCTTTCGAGAGGCCATTGCTTAGTGGGGTGGCCTATGCAGAAAGGGTGGTACATTCAGAGAGGGAGGAATTTGAGAGGCAGCATGGCTGGACAATTAAGACAATGGAGAGGGAACCTTCTCCTATCCGAGAGGAATACGCTCCGGTGATATTCTCTCAAGAAACTGTTTCGTACATCGAATCACTTGACATGATGTCAGGGGAGGTATAACATTTTCTGTTTATAAGCCTAACGTTTCTCTGATATTTAGAATTAGTTTCATTGTTAGAATGGACTGGCAATATCCAAGTTTCGATATGCAGGAGGATCAAGAAAACATCTTGAGGTCAAGGGCTACTGGGAAAGCTGTCCTAACTAGCCCTTTTAGGCTACTTGGTTCTCATCATCTTGGTGTTGTGTTGACATTCCCTGTGTATAAATTCATGCTCCCAACGAGACCAACTGCGGAAGAGCGCATTGAAGCCACTGCAGGGTATGTCCTAACATTATCGTTCTATTGGAATGATACATTCTTTGTTTGAAATGCTTTTGTGTTTGTTCTTGTTTGTAAGCTTTTGCCTATAGAGTTAGTGAATATAGTTGACATAGTTTTGAAATTTATGGGTCGAATGAAAAAGTTACGTAAGATAGGTCGAGAGTGTTGATAATAATTAGGAAGTTACATTTTTTTTCAACTGCAGTTGTATTAGAATGCAAATTTCAGAAGGAAACGTTTCAATCCTTGTTCATGTAGTTAATGCTGATAAAGTTACTAGACTTCCAATTAGCAAACATGGTGTGTTCTTATGTATGAACAAACTTCGAAATGAACACAGATACCTTGGTGGAGCCTTTGATGTGGAATCTCTTGTGGAGAATCTACTTGGACAACTTGCTGGAAATCAGGCAATTCTAGTCAATGTGTACGATATTACCAACTCTTCGGATCCCTTGATCATGTATGGTCACCAAAATCAAGATGGTGACTTGGCTTTGGTCCATCAAAGCAAGCTTGATTTTGGTGATCCGTTTCGGAAGCATCAAATGATATGCAGGTATGTGTATTACTGATGCTTCTTCTCAAGGTTGATGTAATGACGGGTTGTTTTTCAATGTACTTACCATTTGGCATTCTGAGCAGATATCATCAGAAGGCACCCACATCTTGGACCGCCCTGACCACGGCATTCTTATTCTTTGTAATCTGCTTATTAGTTGGCTACATTTTATACGGTGCGGCAATTCACATTGTTGAAGTTGAGGATGATTTCCACGAAATGCAAGAACTAAAAGTTCGAGCAGAAGCTGCTGATGTTGCCAAATCACAGGTATGTTTGTCAAGATTTATCTATCAACACCTTGTTGGCCCACCCATTTCCAAGCTAAAACTTAACGTTTTCTGGATACAGTTTCTGGCAACAGTTTCTCATGAAATTCGGACTCCCATGAATGGTATTCTTGGTATGTTGCAAATCTGCGAGACATATGTGTGGACTAACATTTACCAACTTTGTCCTAATATTTTCCAACTAATCTTTTAATGGTTGCAGGGATGCTTGCGTTGCTTTTAGATACGGATTTAAGTTCAACACAAAGAGATTATGCTCAGACTGCTCAAGTTTGTGGCAAGGCACTTATAACATTGATAAATGAGGTGCTTGACCGGGCAAAAATTGAGGCCGGGAAGTTGGAGCTAGAAACTGTCCCTTTCAATCTTCGTTCTATCTTCGATGATGTTCTTTCTTTGTTTTCCGAGAAGTCTAGAAACAAAGGTGTCGAGGTAAAACTAGTGCTTCATTTTTCAGTATGTTTCTCTATGTTAGATATTTCCTAGGTCGGTGGATGCCTACGAAACGAAAAAACTCACTTCGGTTTATAATGCTTGCACTAACTCATTGCCTCCTTTTTTCCGTTTTCCATTCGAACGGTGATGTTCCTCATGCGTGCAATGACTCAAATATGGTGAATTATTGGGAACTGAAGCTGGCAGTCTTCATTTCTGATAAAGTACCAGAACTGATTATCGGGGACCCAGGGAGGTTCAGACAGATAATAACAAATCTAGTCGGGAACTCTGTTAAAGTAAGTAGACTGCTCAACATTCAATCTTTTCGACATTCATTTAGGGGGTACATTCATTTAGTTGGTAACTGTGTGTTTGACAGTTCACAGAGCGGGGACACATATTTGTTAAAGTTCTCCTAGCTGAAAATGAGAAGCCCGTGACAGAGGTGAAATCCGAAAATTATTTGAACGGAGGGCCAGATGAAGGTGTACTGATATCAGGTGCACGCCATTTCAAAACCTTGAGTGGCTACGAAGCAGCTGATGAGCAGAACAGTTGGGATCACTTCAATCATTTAGTCATGGAAGAAGAGTCGCGATATGATGCCTCGATAAACATGGAAGTTGCCGACAAAGCTTCTCGGGGTGTCACTTTGATGGTATCTGTGGAGGATACTGGCATTGGAATCCCTTTAATCGCACAGGACCGAGTTTTCATGCCATTCATGCAGGCAGATAGTTCAACTTCGAGAAATTACGGTGGAACTGGTATAGGCTTGAGCATTACCAAGTGTTTGGTCGAGCTAATGGGCGGTCACATAGGCTTCATTAGTCGGCCACAAGTTGGAAGCACATTCTCATTCACCACCCATTTTGAGAGTTGTAAAAAAGCTTCATATAATGATACGAAAAAACCTGTTTCCGAAGATCTTCCTTCCGGTTTTACGGGATTGAAAGCAATAGTAGTCGACGGAAAACCGGTAAGAGCTGCTGTAACCAGATATCACTTGAAGAGACTTGGTATTCTGGTTGAATTTGCAAATAGTGTCAAGATTGCTGCTTCTGCATCCAGACAAAATGGTTCTTCTTGCGGGTATGTTCTTGTCAATGGTTACTCTTTACTCTTTTCGGATACTTCTAGCAGTGTCTTCGAGTGAACGGAATTCGGCAATTTTTATGCTTTTAACAACATTGAAACGATGACAGAATGCCAACTAAGATCAAATTATTGCGTGGAAAAACACATCGCTACCTTCTATTCATCTTATAAATGTTTAACTCTGTATGGTTGCTTCATTGAATATTGCAGAAGTAAAATCCGGCCGGATATAATTCTTGTTGAGAAGGATTTATGGCTTTCCGGAGAGGATGGTGGATCGAGCTTACAAATGTTCGATGGGAAACAAAATGGGCATGTATTTAAGTTGCCTAAGGTGATTCTACTTGCAACAAATATTACAAGCGCAGAACTCGAGAAAGCAAAGGCGGCCGGTTTTGCAGATACCGTGATTATGAAACCGATGAGGGCAAGTATGGTGGCTGCTTGTCTTCAACAAGCGTTGGGGATAGGGAAGAAGAGGCAGCCTGGAAAACTCATGTTGAATGGATCTCCGGTCATTCAGGGTCTACTCTGCGGCAAAAAAATATTAGTCGTGGATGACAATATGGTTAATCGTCGAGTTGCTGCTGGTGCATTGAAGAAGTTTGGAGCTGCTGTAGAATGTGCTGAAAGTGGAAAAGCTGCACTGAAATTGCTTCAGCTTCCACACTGTTTCGATGCATGCTTCATGGACATTCAGATGCCAGAAATGGATGGGTATGTTATGTATACTGCTTTTCCATGCATGTATGTGCACGTATTATGGCTATCAAGACCGATATTAGTACCATATGGTTCGTTTCTTATAATTCGTTTCTGTCCAATAAACCTGATTAACATCCTAGTATTATAAATCTGAATATCAATCATGAATTGTTATTTTCAGGTTTGAGGCAACTCGTCGAATTCGAATGATGGAGAGTCAGGCGAACGAACGGATGCACGGATGCATCAAAGAAGATTCTGCCAGCAGGGGAGAGTGGCATGTCCCGATATTAGCCATGACAGCTGATGTTATTCATGCCACCTCCGATGAGTGCCTGAAATGCGGGATGGACGGATACGTCTCCAAGCCCTTCGAGGAAGAAAATCTCTACCAGGCTGTTGCAAAGTTCTTCAAATCCAACCCCATTTCAGTCTCGTAGCTACAACTTAGCCCTATTCGGAAACACAGAGAAAACAAAAGTGGCGAAAGATATGCAGGTTGGACTTTTTCCAGCAATTTTCCCCTATCCTATGGCTGCATTTTGGTTTCTGCAAACGAGAAACAGTCCATGGTTATGGTTGTTGACTGCATCGAAAGCATGTCCCGACTACCGATTCTAACCAAATCGAGTTTAACTTGATTGGAATTTGAGTACTTGTATACTACCACAGGGACTCCATGCCCATCTGTTTATATAGATCATTACAAGGGGATGGATTCAAAGGTGTAAATCTGATTTCCTCGAAAGACTTAACAAGCTTTCATCTGCAAAGTGGTTTTTATGCCTATATATATATATGTGTCTTATTTTTTTGTAAAGACTTTGATGTTTAGTTTTCGAATATGAGAAATTAAGAAGTGGCTGCTCTGCGTGAATAGTTATAGTTTAATACATAGAAAGAATTTGACCATAAAAAAATAAGGCATTGATTGCTTTTGTAAAACTCCATTAAATAAAGGGGAAGAGAAACAGCCTTGATAAAGCAGAAAACAAGACATGGAGACAGACCAGATGCATGTTTTCCGCGGAAACATGTCGCTCATATACCTAAAGCCATTTATATGGTCCACTATAGAATCCAACATTTACACCTAAAAAGGTTGTAGTTTATTAATCTTTATCCCCGGCCCACACTCCATAAACAGAGTTGTAATTGACAATAAATGATGACTAAACAAGATTACAGATGGTTATTGTTTGGTTTTAATTGAATTAATTCATCCAGATAAAATTTAATTTAGTTAATTGATCGAGTAATTAGATGTTGCCTGGGTTAACGATTAAGAAATTTTTTGAAGATTGGTTAGCAATCAGTTAATTAATAGAATTAATTAAAAATATTAAATATTTAACATATATTAAATATATACTTTAAGCTCAAATCAGTTAAAAATCGAAATTCAACTATTTTTTAATTACACTAGTCCCATTAAAATTTTAAGATTCAATCAAATTTTAAACCAAATTAAAAAGAAAATAGCTCTATTAAAATCAACTTTCGGTCAATTCAGAAATTGACCGAATCAACCAAATTTTATTTGATTTAATTAATAATTTAAAAGTAAATTAATTAATTGATTTTAATTTAAAGGGACATCTCGTGTGTTATTACGAAGACATACAATGATCAAGACCTCGTTAAAAAACTTCCTTAATTTTAAATGGAGAAAAAAGAGTATCCCAGATCAAGTCGAAATGAAACTATTACAAACGAATGAACAAGTACATTAACTCTTGTCCAATGACATACAGACTATGACACAAATACTACAACCAGAATCGAACTCTCTCACTGACCCGGACTAGGCATAAGAGGGCTAACAATCGGCTAAACCATTTAAAAACTAACGCGTAAGTCATAATTTTTTCTAGGGTTTTGCAACTACGACTGCAATCTTTACCAATTTACAGTTTGGTCACTGGTTTCCATTTAGAAATTTTAGGTCAAAATTTCTCAATTACTAGGTTTTAAATTGGGGATTTTTCGGTGTGTTACAACATTCGTAAAGCATGCACAATCAATATCTCCCTTCCTATTTATCCCAATTTCCTCTGGGTGGCGACAATGTATGCCGAAGAAAATAATTTTTTAGCGATAAATAGAGTTGTCAATGATTTTTGTGTGTGGTTACTACTGGAAATATTTTGCAAACTTAAATAAATTAAGTGTTCCGATCCTAAATAAATAAAATTTTCTAAAATAATTATAAACAATATAATTTAATTATATTCCTACTAAAATTTAAATTAAATAATAATAAAGGTCATTATATTTTTTTTATATTTATTTAATAAGAATAATTTAATTAGTGGTGTGCATCGGTGTGTTATATTAGTGGTTGTTTCGGTGTGTGATGTGTGCTCTAGATTCATACTGAATTTGATCTAACTCATATTAATGAAGATGTAAAATTTAAAAAAATTAGAGAAAGTAGGAAATCTAATTTGATTGAAATTAATAAACATATTTTATTTTATGTTGATTAAAAGTAGAAAACGAGTCTGTTTGGTTTTATAAAATATTGGCTATTTTTATTTTCATTTTCTTAAAAAATAGAAAACATTAAAAAAACTGTTTAGTTGTAAAATAAGAAAATGATTTTTGAAAAATGAAAAAAATAAGTGAAAATATGAAAACATTAAAAAGATGTTTTCAGTATTTTCATTAAAATTGTTTTGGAAATTTGAAAAATAATTTGAAAACTTATATAATATATGGTTTTTAAAAACATTTCGAAAATATATAATTATGGTTTTTAAAACATTTTGAAAATATATAATTATGGTTTTTTAAAACATTTTGAAAACTTATAATATATATATAAATAAAATAAAATAAAAAATATCTGGAAGAAAATGAGTGTCTACACACATATTTGCACGCATATCACATAATCCACATTTCTGACATTACATCTTGCATCACATAACTTATTCTTTCTTAATCACAATAAACACAACTAATTCCATATTTAAACATATTTTCAAGTTATTATCAAACAACCAAGTAAACAGACAAACAAATCAAAAATATGTAGCACCGATAGAGACACACCTTGAAAAATAGCTAAGGACGGTGATATTACTTTCCACGGTCGGCCAGTCGATCCGAATCAGTGCCTACAACAATATTTAACAATTAATAAATTATTTTAAACTTCCCAATAAGGCTAACAAACTAAAATAATAAATTCACACTCACAGGTAACTCAAACAGCTCGAGTCGGTTCGATGTTAGGAGGTAACGGTGACGAAGGCGGTAACTCGATTCTCGGATCAGAACTTCCTGCGAAAATCACGATGCATAATTTCATATTCCAATGACGAATTTCAGAACTTAAATAATAATTTTTACGGTGACAGAAATATTTTTTTCTGGTTCGAGTCGGTGAACCGAAATTGGAGGTTCGCTCGATTATGGATACTGCCAATACAGAAAACTGGGACTGCCAGCGATGAGGGTGTACCGATAGCAGCCCCAAGGGACGGCGAACTCACAGCCACACTCACCGTGGCCTTAAACGGTGGGCCACCAAGGCCATTTAGCTGCCGAAAGGCGAAAGTATATAAAGAAAATAATACTGACGAGGGTCTACCTAGTGAATTTCCGACCAGATAGACTTTCCCCACGTCACTTCCAGCCATGTCATGGCCACAGACGGTCAAAGTAAACCGCGACAACGGCATATTCGTGAGCAAAGCTCATTGGTTTCGAGCGAATGCGACTTCGGGTCGACGACAGCAGGAACGGAGTTAAAGGAGACGGTCGACGAGCTTACCTGACCGGTCAGATGGCGTGAAGGGCAATGGAGGAGTGAGCGGCGGTGGCTTAAAGGGAGATAGGATCACTGCTAGGGTTTTTTTTTAGGTTCTGCTGCTAGTGTTTTAAAAATAAAAGGGGAGGGATGCGCAGAGTTATAAACGAGGAAGGGGAGAGTTTGATATCAAATAGAATTATGCTAATTTGAAGGTAAGTCATAATTTTTTCTAGGGTTTTGCAACTACGACTTCAATCTTTACCAATTTACAGTTTGGTCACTGTTTCAATTTAGAAATTTTAGGTCAAAATGTCTCAATTACTAGGTTTTAAATTGAGGATTTTTCGGTGTGTTACAACATCCGTAAAGCATGCACAATCAATATCTCCCTTCCTATTTATCCCAATTTCCTCTTGGTGGCGACAATGTATGCCGAAGAAAATAATTTTTTAGCGATAAATAGAGTTGTCAATGATTTTTGTGTGTGGTTACTACTGGAAATATTTTGCAAACTTAAATAAGTTAAGTGTTTCAATCCTAATTAAATAAAATTTTCTAAAATAATTATAAACAATATAATTTAATTATATTCCTACTAAAATTTAAATTAAATAATAATAAAGGTCATTATATTTTTTATATTTATTTAATAAGAATAATTTAACTAGTGGTGTGCATCGGTGTGTCATATTCGTGGTTGTTTCGGTGTGTGATGTGCGCTCTAGATTCATCCTGAATTTGATCTAACTAATATTAATGAAGATGTAAAATTTAAAAAAAATTAGAGAAAGTAGGAAATATAATTTGATTGAAATTAATAAACATATTTTATTTTATGTTGATTAAAAGTAGAAAACGAGCCTGTTTGGTTTTATAAAATATTGGCTATTTTTATTTTCATTTTCTTAAAAAATAGAAAACATTGAAAAAACAATTTCGTTGTAAAATTAGAAAATGATTTTTGAAAAATGAAAAAAATAAGTGAAAATATGAAAACATTAAAAAGATGTTTTCAGTATTTTCATTAAAATTGTTTTGGAAATTTGAAAAACATTTTGAAAATATATAATTATGGTTTTTAAAACATTTTGAAAATATATAATTATGGTTTTTAAAACATTTTGAAAACTTATAATATATATATATATAAATAAAATAAAATAAAAAATATTTGGACGAAAGTGAGTGTCTACACACATATTTGCACGCACATCACACAATCCACATTTCTGACATTACATCTTGCATCACATAACTTATTCTTTCTTAATCATAATAAACACAACGAATTCCATATTTAAACATATTTTCAAGTTATTATCAAACAACCAAGTAAACACACAAACAAATCAAAAATATGTAGCACCGATAGAGACACCTTGAAAAATAGCTAAGGACGGTGATATTACTTTCCACGGTCGGCCGGTCGATCCGAATCAGTGCCTACAACAATATTTAACAATTAATAAATTATTTTAAACTTCCCAATAAGGCTAACAAACTAAAATAATCAATTCACACTCACAGGTAACTCAAACAGCTCGAGTCAGTTCGATGTTAGCAGGTAACGGTGGTGAAGGCGGTAACTCGATTCCCGGATCAGAACTTCCTGTGAAAATCACGATGCATAATTTCATATTCCAATGATGAATTTCAGAACTTAAATAATAATTTTTACGGTGACGAAAATATTTTTTTCTGGTTCGAGTCGGTGAACCGACATTGGAGGTTCGCTCGATTATGGATACTGCCAATACAGAAAAGTGGGACTGCCGGCGACGAGGGTGTACCGACAGCAGCCCCAAGGGACGGTGAACTCACATCCACACTCACCGTGGCCTTAAACAGTGGGCCACCAAGACCGTTTAACTGCCGAAAGGTGAAAGTATATAAAGAAAATGATGCTGACGAGGGTCTACCTAGTGAATTTTCGACCAGATAGACTCTCCCCACATCACTTCCAGCCACGTCATGGCCACGGACGGTCAAAGTAGACCGCGACAACAGCACATTCGCGAGCAAAGCTCACTGGTTTCGAGCGAACGCGACTTCGGGTCGAGGGCAGCAGGAACGAAGTTA